TATAACATATAAGTTTTATATTTTATTTCTATTAACAGATATATTTACAATTAAATATAAACAAAAAAAAATGAAAATATTGAAAAAAAAAAGAAAAAAATTTGGTCCACTAGGTTGACCCACCCAAATCAATGCTCGAGTGAGGGCCTAAGTCCACTGAGTTGATAGCGGGGCGATTGTACAATATAAGAACCCAAACCTGCTTGATGCTAGCTTTATCGACCGACTCTTACATAGACCAATCGGGTCCGCTCGGTTTGCAAAACTCTACTTAGCATGGTCAAGTAGACAAGTTCGTCCCAAATTTGTCGTCTGTTCAAGGGTCTCCATTATTTTAATAAAAAATGACCCATTAGATCATCATCAAACGTTTATATTTACATTGACTACAAGATCTAATGATCTCTACTCTGGACTTGGGGGAGTGGGTGGGTTTCTGGAGCGAAGTACAATCATAGAGACAGGGAGAGGAATGAACAGAAGAAGTACAAATCCTATATAATTATTTGGATGTTAGATCATGGTATGCTTTAAGCAGGGTGGAACCCATACGAAACTTAATTTCAAAATTAAAAAATCTAAGTGCATACTTGTTTCTAGATATATAAAAATAAAAGTCAATCCCAATTCAAAATCTAATTCAACTCTAACTGAATTCCGCTACTCTCAATATTATGAATATAATTAAATAATATTAATTAATATGGTAAAAACAAAAATCGCATCAGAACCGATAAAGAGTCAGTTACTGGAATTTGGTTACCAAAAATATCGGTTCGGTTTGGTTCAGTTTTTTTTTTTTTTTTTCATGTCGGTTTGGTTCGATTTAATTTCGATTTTCAAAAAAAAATTCAAATAGTTCAGGCCACGTGTCAACGAGCCTAGCTAAAACCGTATAGTCTCACGGCCTTGTCGGCTATAACGTTTATAGCCAAGGCTCACGAAGTAACAATTTTTACGTCTTTTCATTACCCTTATTCCTAAAGTTCAAAACCCTGATTTGGTTTCCCATTACAGGCCTATCAGCATTGTAGTGTCTTTTACAAAACCATCTCCAAAATTCTTGCTAAAAGATTGAAAAAATGGCTTCATATTTGCATCACTGATAGGCAACTCAGCCTTCATCCTAGTGAGGCAAATACTAGATAATGTTATTATTGCTAATGAATCCTTGCACTTTCTTAATAGGCATAGGTCTGGCAATTCTTTCTATATGACAATTAAGTTGGACATGTCAAAGGCCTTTGACAGAGTTGAATGGCCTTGTGTCAGTCAGATTTGTGTAAGTTAAGGTTTCATTCTTGCTTTATTAATTGGATAATGGCATGTCTGTCTAACTCCTGCTTATCTTTCAATGTTAATGTGGATACCAAAGGCTTTGTCCAAGCCTCAAGAGGAATCAGACAGGAAGACCCACTGTCTCCCTACATATTCATTCTTGTTTTCAAAATTTTATCTAGTTTGATCAAATCCGAGGTTTCAAATGAGAACTGAAAAGGGCTGAAAATTAGCAAAATGGGCCAACCCTCACCCACATTCTCTACCCGGTTTTTGCCCAAGCTTCCAATACCCAAGCCCATCTCTTGTTAGACATTTTCCATAAATACTAGCTTCACAAGCCAGACTGGCAACCTCTCCAAATCCTCTATATTTTTCAGTAAAAATACACCCCATATTGTCCAAGACCAAATATGCAATACTCTAATGGGTATATATGTCCACTCCTCTTCTAAATAATTGGGGTTTCCCTTGCGTCTGGGGAAATCCAAAATTGACACTTTTGCTTTTGTGGAAAATCCTGTGAAAAATAGAATTTTGAACTGGAACTTTTGTAGGTGAGGAGGTACTCCTAAACTCAGTCTTGAATGCTTTGCCCATCTATACTATGTCATCTTTTGTCATCCCTAAAGCAACAAAAGCAAACATTGAAATGACTATTGCAGAATTCTGGTGGAATAATGTGGGGAATGGAAAAAGGACTATCCACTAGAAATCTTGGAAAATCATTACCATCCCAAAAGACAAATGGGGATTGGGTTTCAAGGACATTCGCTTCATGAACAGGGCTCTTATAGCAAAGCAAATTTAGAGGATCCTCTCTAAACCCAATCTCCTTGTTAGCAGGCTTCTGAAAGCAAGATATTTCCATAAGGATAATTCTCCAGCATCTCAAAGAAGCAAAACAATTCCTGGTTATGGAACAATTGGCTGGAGGTTAGAGACTCTCTTCAAGGTGGCTTGAGATATGGCGTTAGAAATAACAATAAGATAAACATCTGGGATCACCACTGGATCCCTTCTATACCAATTCTTAGGCATCACAACATCAGACAGAGAGAGATTGGCATCACTTAGTTCAAAGAGCTTCTTGATGAAGCTGGTAGAAGTTAGGACCTAAACACTCTACAATCTTTTTTCTCTACCACAAAAATTGATGCTATTCTTAAGATTAAGGGACTTGATCCACTTGGAGTGGATAGATTAGTGTGGAATGGGGATTCTAAAGGGTCCTTTGTTGTTTCAACTGTATATTCCAACTTGATGGAGGGCAAATGGATATTTCTAGACTTAGCTAAAAACAATAAGGGTCAGAAAAGGGAAACTAGCATGAGAAAATGAAGTTGGTCACTCAAAGTCCAAGGGAAACTTGAACATTTGTCTCTAGAAATGTGTCACTAACACTCTCCGTGTTGCTAATAATCTTGGGAAAAAAAGATCATTTTAGACCAAACTTGTAAAGGTTGTGGAGAAGAGATGGAATCTGTTGCGCATCTATTGCTCCATTGTCCAATAGCCACAACAATCCGAAAGCTATCTCTTGTGTGTTAGGATGGAGAATGCCTTGATACTTCTTCCTTTAAAGTCTGGTGGACTCAACTTTACTCTGTAAGTAACTCTCCAACCTCAAATGCCCGGTTGCAACTCACTACCTACCTCATTTGGAAAATCTCATAAGCAAGGAACATGTGGACCTTTCAACAAATCAGAAAACCAGAGGGCTTTATAGTTCAAGTGGCTCTTAACAATTGGACAGAATTCAGTTCCTCTCACCCTCCTTAACTGTTCTATCTTCAGTACTACCGCTTGTTCTCTCTTATCTTTTTTTGGTTGGTGTGGTAGCTTTTGGTTGGTGTGGTAGCTTTTGGTTGTTAGTGTTATGCTGCATTAATGTGTTGGCTTTTGTTCTGTTGCATTGAGCTGATCTCCCAGTGCTAAATCTGTGTTGTTGTTTTGGGCTGAGATCTGGTTGTTGTTTGTTGCTCTTCTGCTGTGAAAAAGGGTTATGGGTTGGTGGGTGTTTCTCTTTAGTTGGAAGCTTCTTGTTGGTTTCTTAGTGTTGTTAGTTTGGTTTTTTTTTTTGTTTTTTGTTTTTTTTTTTTGCTTTGTACAACTGCTTTTCCTTTCTCGGTGTACAACAACTTCAACTAGGCCATGTAGTTCAGTAGTTGCTAGCTTTGTCTTAAGCCTGTCGCAAAGTATAAAAAAGCAACTCTCCGAGTTCGTTGCTTGGCTTTGTCGGGAGTTGCTCTTTATGCTTTCCTTCTCTTGTAGGCTTCTAATGCATTTTGAGTGTTATTACTCATGTTTCATTTTGGACGCTATTGAGTTCTTTAACCGGGTTGTACATTTTCTTTGATCAAAAGAATTATTAGAACCAGGGGAAAAGATCCAACAATAATTCTTTGACAAAAAGAATTATTAGAATCTCGTGACCCATGATCCTTAGGAAGGGCAGAAGGGCTCGATCCCAGACCAGGCTCCGCTTAAGGCGATGGATGACAATCACTTAGTCTTTTCCCTACGACTGAGTGAGCAACTATCCACAAGAGGGTGAGATTAGATGCACCTTAGTGAGGTTCTATCCTAAAACCAATAAGTGATGGGAGGAGTAACTCGCTAAACTTATAACTAGGCTCATTTACCCTATATAATCAATGTGAGACAACTCAAAAGTAATATTCCAACACGCCCCACTTGTGAGTCCTTCGTAAGCCCAAGCCCAGAGCAGGCCGGGGATAGAGAGAGTCATTGCAGGTCTTAGGTAATCAATGTGAGACAGCTCAGAAGTGATATTCAAATAAGAATTAAAAGAGTAAAGGGGCGATTGGATATAGTTTAAACAGTAAAAAAATCAATCAAAACTCAAATTTAACTCAACTTTAACCCAACAACACTATCTTCAATATTATCATATAATTAAATAATATAAATCAATCATTCTTACACATCACATCAACTTTAATTCATTATTCATCTCTACTCACATAATCTTAATTAACCATCACTTCCAATTATTTTTCTCATACTTTACATCAAATCAACTTCATTTATTTTATTTAAATATTATATAATATATCCACTAACAACTATATCATACCTCTTTTTAAAAAATTAACTATAGTTAAAAAACAAATCAAATAAAAACTAGTTGAATCCATACACCATATCCCTAACCAATCCACCTATTTTTTCTTGAATCTTGCGGTCGCACGTTCACCGCACTCGCCGCCGTCCCCGCCACAACCCCACCGCCGCCGCTCACTCCCCGCCCGCCGGAGTACCTGCCGTCCCCGCCACCACCGCCGCCAGCCCCCTCAGCACCACGCCGCCCGCCGCCAGCGCCTTGTTCAGATATCCCAACCAACATATCCATATACTCGGTATGAAATTTGCCCTAATTTCAGCCGTCCTGTATTTCTTCCCCCGCCACGAATTTGTCCATTAATTTCCCGAGCTAATGTGCAGATTCTCTTTCTTCTTTCAATTGCTAGCTGTTTCTTGTTCAATACCTCTCTCAGATCAGCTGGTCTCTGGTCTACGTCTGACGTGGACGCTTCTTGAAAGATGATTGGTTCTGACACAAGTGCACTGCTTGCTTTACTCGCTATTTATTTTTTCTACTTTCCCCTTTTTATAGCAAATTCTGATCGAAATAGAGAAGAAAACTGAAAGCTTAACATTCAAGAAGAAGAAGGTGAAGGTGAAACCCAGAAGCTGCCATGGAGGACAAAGACAGCTCTAAGTTGAACATTGCCATTATCCACCCTGATCTTGGGATAGGTAACTTTCAGTACATCTGTCTGGGCCTAAAGATTCATTTTTTGCAGTCATATTTTGATTCATAGTGAAATGCATTCGAGACGAATTATTCATATTTCGTACATATAAAGAACAATTCTTGATTGGTTCTTGCTGCCAATTGTTGGGAATTTTTGATCGATTTTGTACTCCGCAATTGTTATACAAAAATAAGGATAATGTATGTAATTCCTAATTAGTTGTTGTTCTAGGAAGCTTGGTTCACAATAGCTAATTGTAATTTTTTTTTATTTGATTGTCCCTTTGCCCCCTTCCTGAAGTTTTTGGTCTTCGAT